ATTCTGTTACACTTACTTTCTGAAGATCTGGTTCTGGGGTTGGAAAGTTAATTTTAAGAGTCTGACAGGAGAGGGGGAACATTCCACTTGTCCCAGAGCATAACCCCACTAGACCAGTAATATCAAGGGTTATCTAAGGACACTAAAACTGAAGGTAGTGAGCAGAAAGACAGACGAAAATATGCCAGCAGGGTTGTGACTTCAAGTCCCAGCTAACCATGCAGACAGTTTGGCCCAGACTGTCCCTCTGGCATAGCTGATTCAGTATCTGGTTTCAGTGAAAGAAAAATCAGCTGAGTAAGCTTATCCAAACTGAAGAGAACTGGTTCTTAACCTGTGAGCTCAGTCCTCTTTGGCACAGAGTTCTGGCACAAACTTACAGAGCTCAGCTCCATACATGACAGTCAGGCAGACCAGCAGCCCGTTTCCCAAGAACCTTTAACTCCCCATTCCTATTTACAAGTACAATGCTAGTGTGGTTGGCATTGAGACAAATGCTTTCTCTACAGCCACTGATTCCCTGTTACTGCTCTGAACTGCAGTGAGATTATCAAGCAAAACACACTTCTGCAGGACAGCCAGTGTTGCTTTTAATCAGACCAAAAGGTACTGGACAGACTCACTGCACAAACAGTAACTTGAAAGCAGGAGGCTTGCAACACCAAGCAGTACTGTCCAGTAACATGAAACAATGGAAACAGTCAATGCTGCTTGAGTCATTTTTTGCTTTTGCGAGAAGGAACAGACGGGACTCATTACTGATACATGTATTTGACATATAACAAGTGAACATGCTGGAAGTTTTCTGTGCCTTGAAGCCAAGTGGGCAAATGAGCAGCTGCCTACACTAAGTGGTAATTTTCTGAGCTAAGTGATGGAACGCTATTCTAGAGAGCAAGAAAATAATCACAAATATTCACATCTATTAAAAAAAAAATAAAATCAGTATTTTAAGAGTTCTTAGAAGTTCAAGTTTTGTAAATTCTTTGTAACCGGTTTTGTTTGCCTTTCATTTCCTTCCACTGCCAAAGCTCACGTAAGAATATCTTGTACTAATACAACACAAATGGCTGTTGACTAGTTATTTATACCAGGATGCCATTCCTGGACACCCAAATTCACAGGTGAATTCCAGCCACATGCTCCTATCACCTGATATTTACAGTAGGTAAAGGGTGAGTGGTGGTCAACGAAGTACGTGGACAAGCATCTCAAGAGCTAACACAAAGGGCTTTCAGAGTTTTTACCTTGTAAAGACAGAATGGTCTTTTTGATCCAAGACAATAATAATGTCTCCTGGCTCCAGTCCTGGCTCTTGGTCCCCTTCACCATGGAATGTTATTTTCTGACCATCCTTCATTCCTATTGCAGGAAACAAACAAGCAAGGATTTTTCATATTTTTAAGTAAAAACCAGCAACAAAATAAGACTTTCAAAAGCACACACTGGTACCAGGACATCTCTAAATCTTTAAATTAGAATAGCAAGACCCCCCCTTAAAGCATTCATGACTTTTTTTAAAATCCCACTTCATGTCCAGCAGTACAGTGGTGCCAACCCAAATTATGTCTCAAGATCATTAAGCTAAACTGTAGTTCAAACCAGCTACCTGCCAAGATAAAGTCTTTAAAACATTATCAAAAAGCATTCATTACATGAACAAGCACTGAATAGAAAACAGAAGCACTGCATGCAAAGTACATTTTAAGAGCAAGTGACCAATCAACTTCTTCAGAGTTATAAATATATGCAGCAGAGCTACTTTTGAAACATGATCTCAGTGCCTGCCAAGTGCAAGCAGCACTCTCCCTAGGACTGTCATCTAAGAAACCCTTTCACCCACACAAGTCTCACTACCATAAGTTCTAGCTGCTTCACATTAGCTCACAATCTGTTTTTCCATAAGAAAGGGGTGGGGAAAAAAGCCCCTCTTTTCAGTGATTTCCCTGTTTAAAATGCCAGTAACATATCCTTACTAGCCCTCATATCTAATTTTACTGTAGCATTTCCCCCACTATATGCAAGCGTTGCGTAAGGTGTGCTTCCACATTTAACAGTTGCAGGTGATGATCAGGCACGAGTCTGCAGAAGACACATGCTTGTCAGCCTGCTCTGTCTTACAAGCTGCACTACTCCAGAGACTTCTCCCACCAGTTTGAGCAGCCTCCTCAATGGAGATGTGTTTGTCACTGACACTTTTGCGTTCTCCCACCACTGTGAGGGCTTGTGTACTGAGTTGCATTTTCCCAGGCAAAGAGTACCTGTGCTGTGCAGGACTGTCAGGGTTGCGTAGTGAACAGTCCTAAGCATGAGAGGCTTAGCACTGTCTCTGCACCCTATTTCTGTAGCAGACCTGGTTCCCCTTCATACTGAAGCACAGCAGAAGAGATCGGAATCTGCAGGGTTTCCCTACAGGGAGTGAAAACTCATTAGGCACAAAGAGCCAATGAGTGATGAGTTTCGCTTTTCTCTGTCCAGCTACCTGATCAAGACTCACATTTGTGAGGTTGCTCAAAATTCATGCACTGCTTACAATACTGCAGGTTTCAGAATTCATACTAGTTACGTGCATAGGCATTAGATGCAAACACAGAAGTAACCAACATTCCCTAAAAACAAGTCTCATACTTTTTAAAGGCAGCAACAGGCAATTTAACTACATATATTCAGCAGTGTTACCACCAAATAAACATCATGAGCTTGCTAAAGCTTCTGCTTCATGGCTGCAAAGTCAGCCAGTATATCCAGGTTCAATACTTCACCTTAGTAAGACACCTCACCTCTGTCAATGTGAACTTCCAGTATCTTCTTCTCTCTGACAATTTTCCTTCCAGTGCAGCTCTTACACCGGTCCTTGGGGCTGATGCGCTCCCCGTGCCCCTGACACTCCATACACACTGACTGGATTTGCTGCACCATTCCTGGCCCGATCTGGTGAATTCTAATCTGCATGCCTGTTCCCCTGCAATTAGGACAGCATTCTACCGCACCCTTCTTACCACCACGACCTGAGAGCAAAAATTGGAAGCAGATGGTTATGTGCTGCCAGAAAAAAAAAAACAACAAAGAAAAACCAAAAAAAAAAACAAAATCTTTAGACGCAGCTTGTTTAGTTTCATTTTCCGTTACCTTCACATTTGTCACAGATAACATTCTTCTGCAGTGCAAGTTTCCTCGTTGCACCATTGTACATATCTTCTAAGCTTACTGACAACTGATGGACCACATTTTTGCCTGTAGGAGAAAATGGATACTCAAGTTTGAAAGCTCAGTCTCCAAGTAACAGAAACTTCCCATGTCACTATGCTCGAAGCATGATAAACTGAGTCTGCGAGCTTTAACATCCTGTTTTAATATAGCTTTGTCTTGTTTTGCTGGCATTAGTCAGTCGGGCCTTCCTACCCGATGCTGGATTACGTTACAATTCTAATGGCTTTGTCAGCAATGTTTCTCTATTAGAATGTCAGGGATTCTTCAGAGAATCAAAGCCAGTACCAGAAGCAAAATACGCAGAACTTCAGACATTTAAGTTTTACAATGCAGGACTCCGGTTTTAACAAAGTAACTGAACACATCTCCTACAAGGAAGTGGGAGCCACTGTACGGCACCAGGAAAGTACTTTCCTCCTCTCACCAGGGGACTTTATGGTAACTGAATCGATTAATTACATTTGTACACTTGGGAATTAATTAGAACTTTAGCTCCTGCAGGCTTAATTTTGTGAAAAATACGAAGTTCCGGCTTACTAGGAACACTGATACAACACAGTGTATCCGACACAGTTTGTGTCTGACACAAACTCTTTTTCTTCCCTTTTTTACTAGGTATATAAGAAGTTACACGGTCAGCACTACCCATAACAAATGTAACTAACACTGGTGTGATCAACCTGGACTTTCCGAGCAACATTTTACTACAGCTTCAACTCAATGCCACCGAACAGCACCCAAATGCAGAAAGGCTTCACAGACTGAATTTATCTTCTTTAGACACAGTTACATACAATTAAAGGCCAAATTTACATTGAGACACTAACGCTTACGGTACCTAAGTTACAAAATTATTTTAAGGTATGTCACTGTTCCGTTCCCTATTTAGCCTGTTAGCAGCTAGGCTTAGGCTCTGCTAGAGGCTTTTCAAACACGGAAACCGGTTAGCTATTAACATGAGACAATGCACAAGAGATCAAACTACCACCATATGAACCAAATGCCCTCGAGGCCCTGGTCTCTTCGCGTGGTAAGAACTCGGAACAACGTTTTCTCCCAATTTGAGACCAACCCTGTAATTTCACTTTAACGCTATTTAAAGCCGTTCATCTACAGCATTCTTCTCCAAGGCCCCGATCCTGCGTACCGCAGGGACCACGCTGCAAATGCCCGGGAAAGCGTCGGATTGTGTCACATTACCTCGTCTCTCTCTCTGCATCCTCCCACCGCCGCCAAAGAACATATCGAATATATCCATGGGCGACCCGAAGCCACCACCAGAACCACCCTCTTTGATGGCCTGCTCGCCTCCTTTGTCATACAGATCCCTCTTCTTCGGGTCCGACAGCACTTCATAAGCTTGCGAAATCTGCTTAAACTGCGGGAGACATGCACCGTGCCTCAGACCCCGCGCCGCGGCACCCCGCACGGCACCCGCCGGGCCGAGCACCCCCCTGCATCTCCCCACCCCCTTGCCGTGCACGGCAGCACCCGCAGGGCGGGCGGCCCCACAGCCCTGTCCCGCCGCGCCACCGACCTTCTCGCCTTCATTGGGGTTCTTGTCGGGGTGGTACTTCAGCGCTAACTTTCGGTAGGCCTTCTTCAGCTCCTCGGCCGAGGCGTTGGGCTTCACGCCCAGCACATCGTAGTAAGTAGTCTCCTTCACCATGGCGGAGGGCGACCCCTGGGCTGCGGGCGGTCCCGCGCTCCGCGGCGGCTGCTCTCCCAACGCCGATCCCGACTTTTCTGGAAAGTTCCGAGCCGGTCCCGCATCCGGGCGCTTTTGAGCCGGCACAGACCCGCCCCGGAAGGGCCGCTCCGCCAGCCCATGGTCGGAGAGCAGCGCGCAGCCAATAGTAGGGGGAGGCGGTGGGCGGCCGGCCAATCACCGCAGCCCAACGGCTGCCGCGCTCAGCCGCCGCCACTCCCGGCGTGCCCCGGTGGGGGAGCGCCCCTCCGCGCATGCTCCAGGGGGGCGGTGGTTTCCACGGAGGCGGTTTGGCGAGCGCCAGGCGGTGCGCGGCCGCCCCCGGGCCCTACCCCCGGGCCCTACCCCCGAGCCTCCCGTGCCCAGCGCTCCGGCGCGGGCCGTTTCTTACGGGCGGGTACGCAGCGGTGGCCCCGCCCCGCCGCCACCTTTCCGGCCGGCTCCGTGTTGCCCACCGCCCGTGGGCGGGCGCGTGGCACCGCGGGTGTTACCGCGCTGCCCTGTTATACTGCCGCGCCTGCGCTCTGCTGACGCTGCAGCAGCCGATTGGCTGGGTTGGATGCGGCGCTGAGGTATCGCGCGCAGTGAGGGCGGGGCCCGGCGTTGCCATGGGCGCGGGGCCTGGTTACCGATACCCTCCGTCGCAGGCCGGTGCGCACCGGTAACCATCTTGGTGCTGCGGCCGGAGGCAGGGGTCCGGCGGGGCTGGGAGGCGCCCGGCTGGCCGCGGGGGCCGTAAGGTGCTGGCGGTGGTTGCCGCGTGGGAGGCCTCCGCGGAGGGCGGCAGTCCCGGGCAGCAGGCCGAGCGGGAGGTGCTGCTCGGTGGGCATAACCACGTGCCGGACATTGCTGAGTGTGGTGCAGTGGGGACGGAGGGTCGCTTTACACCGGGAGTTGGAAGGAGGAGCCCTTAATGCCAAGCACCGGGCAGGGATCGTTGCAGGGTCACCTCGGTATAAACTTGAGGCCCGGATTCACTGTATGGTCCATCTGCAGGCTGTGCCTACGTGAACCTACTCCCCTCTGTCACCCTCTCTGTCTTCTGCCTCTTGCTTTGTTTTGGTACATAAATGAATCTCTCAGATCAATCCTTATTCAGTGGGATACAAATATCTTTTTTTTTATGGGTAGGCTTGTCTGGCAGATGGAGCTGTTGATCCAGTTGATTTTTCCCATACATGATCTGTAAGAATGTATAGTGATATGGAAGGAAGGAAATAGGATTGCCCTTTCAACAGCAACTTGCCCTTAGACTACGCTAGTGTTAATGCAGTACTTGGCCTTGACTTTCAGAAGCATGAACCCAGTTAGCAGAAGTGACTCAGCTAATGGACGGACTGGCAGCAGAATCCCTGGACCCCATTCCACAGGACAGTGACCCACTGTTAGTAACACACTCTATGTTTTGCTCTCACAGTGATGCGTGTGTGCTGGCTAGTGGGGAAGGACAAATGCAGTCAGAGAGTGAAACTGCCACACATGGAAGCAGTGGTGATTGGGCGCGGCCCAGAGACTGGGATAACGGATAAGAAGTGCTCACGTCAGCAAGGTAAGGTTTAGCTCAAATCCCACTTCCTACATGCAGCAGCAACAACCTCACTTGTGAAAAGTGTGCGGTGTTTATCACAGAATAGTAGAATGGTTTGGGTTGGAAAAGACTTCAAGACCATCCAATTCCAACTCTGTGCCATGGGCCATGAGTATCACTCTTCTGTTTGGCTGAATTACAGTAAAGCTAACAAACCAATGCTTCTGCATCAGCTGTAAGCTTGCTTTGAGCAGGGTCTAAATGGGAAATCACAGTTTTTCCCTGGAACTGAAGCAGGCTTTCCTTGGGCTTGCTTCTGCAGTCACTGGCTTATGGTCTCCTTTCTCTACATGGTCCATAGTGTTGCCTGATTCTTGAAGTTATCAAGCTTTTTCCATAAGCACTTGTGGACCTCTCTGAGTCCTAAAAAAGTGGAAGAGACACCTAATATCAGGAAGCTCACCTTTGTGAACTACGGCATTGAACCTGGACATGGGTCCAAAGACCCACAGTCATGTTCCACAGCCTGCGCTCTTGGTTTGTGAGTAGCACTTCATCTCTTTAGTCTTCCACCAGCTGGTTTTTAGTATGACCTATTTTATAGATGCAGTGTGAAAGTATGTAAAAATCCCTGTGATCTATAAAATACTTGTCATGGTTTAGCCCCAGCCAGCAACTATGTAGCACTGCTCTCCCAAGGGATGGGGGAGAGAACTGGAAAAAAGGTAAAACCTGTGTGTTGAGATAACAAGAGTTTAATAATTCAAATAAGTAGAATATAATGGTAACAACAACAATAATAATAAAAAGATAGAGGAATAAACCAAACAAACAAAAAGAAAAACCCCAACAGTGCTGCACAATGCTCATCACCTGCTGACTGATACCCAGCCTCTACCTAAGCAGAGATCTGGGCCTTCCTGGTAACTCCCCCGACTTTATATACTGGGCACAATGTACTGTGGTATGGAATACCCCTTTGGCTAGCCAAAACATGCACTGTACCAGCTATTAGGAAAAAAATTAACTCTGTCCCTGTCAAAACCAGAAAAAAACTTCACATTTTCCCTGCCTTTTTTCCCCTCTGGACACAGTCCTGTTCCATGCCCTGTTAATTATAATTACACAAAGTCAAAAAGGGCTGGTGAGAATATCAGGAATGTGTAAAAGACTTCCACAGATTTTGTCTGTATTCTAAGTAGTTGTGCTGATCACTGTGTGGAATACTCAGGTATGACTCAGTGTATGGGTTGGTTCTGTTTTACCTGCGGTCCTGGACACAGAGGATGAAGCAGAAGTATTCTTTTTGTACATTCACAGAGATCAGCTTCAGAAAGTAGCAGGTCTTAAAATACAGGAGTCCTTTCTGCAAGGGTGGTTCAGCAAAGTTCTGGCCTTTCTGTTTACACAGCATTGTGACACTTTGTTCTTTCCTTCCAGTTCAGTTAAAAGCAGACTGTAACAAGGGGTATGTCACAGTTAAACAGGTACGTTAACAGGGTGTACAATATTTCTGGTATGTATTTAAACTCCACGCATGCTGCAAGTGATGATTCTGTTCACTGGGTCTGAACGACCTGTAGCTGTTTTATGACCAAGGATTGCACAGTGAGTGGGCCTTGGAAATGATATGTTCTTTTTTTTCTTTTGAACTGCAAAGACTGCACTATTCCTTCCAGATGTGCTCCAGTCTCAGACAGCATCAGGGAACCTTACTGTGAATCCTCAACCTGTTCTTCCAGGCACTTTGTCATGGAGATGGGACTGGGCAGTTGTGGAAGGTTTGGGTTTTTTTTGATGGCTGATAGAGCCAAAGATGTGATAATGATCAGGCAAAATCCTTCTGTCAGCCAGTCATTGTAGGTTGCCCCTGCCACTTTGCATTATCAGTTATGCCTGGGAAGGAGGAAATTGTATTGCTTTTCAATTATCAGCTCAACATCAGGTAAATTCTCAGTCTTTAAAACACTGTTTTTGGGGAAAAATATTTTAGAGTTGCATAAAGCTGGAAATGGATGCAATAAGAGAGGCAAGTAAAAATTTGACCACCTTGCTGTCCTCATTTTCTCCTAGAACAGAATAAATAACAGTTTGTTTTGTGAAAGTGTGAGGTGCAAAATGAAAATCAATGGACAGTGGAGCAGTAGTTGGTGATTCCAGTTGCAATATCATTTCCTATTTGTTTTCCTTTTTGTCCCTACCACAGATAGGAGTCAACCCAACTAGTGTTGATCTCGTGAATATTGGCAAGGGTGAAGAGGTGAAAATGAAGCCAGGCCAAGTTCTGCATATTGTGAATAAACTTTACCCTTACACGGTGCAATTTGCTGAAGAATCAGGGAAAACTGTTACCGAAGCAAAAGAGAAAATACAAACCAAACAGGTGTCACGTGAGGACTCCTATGAGAATAATGATGTAGAGTTTGTGCCCAGAAAGACAATGAAGATGGAGGTGGGGGATACAAAAGGCAGTTCTGCAAATCCCAAGCTAAGCCATACTGGTGTATCTCCCCATGAAGGAACTTCGAGCAAAACGGCAAGTGTTAATGCTTGTGCTGTTTCTCCTGGGGTTGTCTCTTCCATCATGGTTTTTGGTCTTTCACTTTTGTGGGTACTCCTGATGGGGAGTGTCTCAGGTGAACACAGATCCTCAGAGTGTTCAGAGCATGTGAAACATAAAACCCAGTCCTGAGAAAGTTTCCTGGGACTCATTCTAACCTGTGCTGAAGGGGATGCATGTGTGTGAAGGTGCTTGCTTGGAGTCAGGAAGGATTTAATCTCCGGTTCCTGTTGCAGTTTCTGCTAGAAGGACAAGTCACATGTGCTGGGTTTATCTGGAGTCACACAAGGATATGGTGCTGGCTCTTATGATGCATTCTGCAGTGTTACAGATGCAGCAGTGATTATCTAAAAGCTTACATACAGCGAATGGGACAACTTGACACTCTTATGTTTGGTTTTTTTGTTTGTTTGTATGTTTGTTTTAATTCTTATGTTTTTTTTTCCTCTTGCTTGGGTCATTCCTTACAGTAGAACCATGTTTACATTAGTGAATGCTACCAGCCATAATCTGGTATTCCCAAAAAGGGAGTTTTTAGCCCTGCTGATGTGCACAAAATAAGAGACTGCTTAGTGCATCTGGACCTATAACAGTGCAGTTGCTGGAGGAGGAGTCATGGAAATGAAACCCCTCAAGACAAGATGTCAGTCACAGGTTGTGGTGGGTTGACCACTCATTTAATTTGTGAATTCAAGTTAGATTAGTGCCAGACAGGACAATTCACCCTGTTTCTTTGGTAGTACTATAATGTTTGAACATCTCTCTCTGTAAAAATATGGTAAAGATCATAATTGATAATGCCCGTAAAGTGATCTGAACAAGTAAAACATTATCTGTTTGGAAAAAAGTGCACTCAAGGCACCTTCTATTAGGCATTCAGTAACCAAGTTAAGAAATACCTGCTTGTGTTGACTTCATTTTCTTGTGCCTTTCTTGTTTTCTGTACAAGCCACTCCTCGCACAATATGAAAAAATAGATATATGTAAGAGTAGGGCCACACACCACAACCATTTCTTTGTTCTGTGCAGAGCAGCATGTGATAGGACATGGAGATTCTTCTGCTTCCTTTGGCCCTTGCACTCATTGTGATCCATGAGGCAGAGGGCCTTTTAGTAAAATAATCTGTCGTCAGTAGCAATGGAGGACTGTGCCATAGCATGTGCATGCAAGTTATTAAATTCCAGCAGAACTAGAGCCCTGTGTTTTTAAACTTCCAACATTTGAAAGACTTAACCTTAAATCTTAACAGTATCTCCTTAAAAGGTTTCAAACATAGCTCTGTGGGGGCAGTTGGAGCGGGCATGTTGGCATTTGTAGAAAGGAAGTCATTCAGCTGTCATTCAGGTGTTCTTTTGCTGTTGTATACTAATGAAAGTACTTCACTGAATGTTTAAAACATTCAATTGGGTTTTGATTATCTTATACAATAATTTCTTTTTCTTTTTGTGCTTCAGGAACACTCAGGACACTGGAGTCAGGGTCTAAAGAGCTCCATGCAAGATCCAAAAATGCAGGTGAAAGCTGTACACTTGTACTATACAACAGCTCCTGTCTAACAAAATTAAATGAGCTTTCTTTGTTCCTTCTGCAGTTTACTTTTATGACCTGATTAACCAGTGGAGTACTGCATAAGGGCTGATTGTACTTGCATCTCTGTCTGTCCTAGCATTAATTTAAGAGTCTCTACTATACTGATATTGCAGAATGTCATTATCCTAATTACCTTTGAGCTCTCTACATTATTAAATTTAGCCCACAGTTCAGAAAGGTTCTTGGGAGAGCAGGTGAGCCGTGCTGTTGCTTTGTTTCCTCAGGGGGACCATCTAAAATGGAGGTGTAGTCTGAAGCTGAGCAAGCAGTGGAGGTTCCTGTTTCCCAGCAGTAGGCACTATTTTTACCAAGCATGGGGCAGATTCCTGGTATCCAGCAAACTAAACTGCAGCACCTCCATACTAGCTGGCAGGATGTGACCTCTGGCTCCTCATTCCACTCCATTTCTTCATGCTAACAGGAATTTCCTGGTTGTTTCCTTTAACCTCCTGCAGATACTCCAGATGCACCTCACTCCCCCTGCTCCCCTGTGGCTGCATAATGGTTTTCCTTGAGCTCTTTGCTGCCTGGTTTTGGGGAGGTCAGACTCAAGATGCAGAAATCTGACAAATGTCTTTTGTGGCTGCAGTGTATGCATACTTTCTTGTTAGTCTATTCTGAGAGGGCCCTCAGAGAATCTTCCCTGTCCATGTGTAGAACCTACTTTCTTTTTGTTTTTAAGATATGGCAAATACGTAGGCATCTCTTTCTCAAAAACAAGCTGTTTGGCCCCAGCATAGGGAGAACGCACTGTCTGGTGGAGTAAGGCTTTAAGCGTGTGTCCATTTAGCTTGGGTTTTGGTTCACTGGCTGCTGCATGGTCATCTTAACATTAGAGATGTGTTTTTCCCTTTGTACTTCTCAGCAAGAGTATGTGTTCAGGAGGACAAATATCACAGACACCTATGATACTTGAACAATTTTAGTTGGAAACGACCTTTGGAGGTGACTCAGTCTGACCACTTGCACTTGGTGTGATTGCCTCAGGCTTTGAACTGATCTCCAGGGGCAGCCTCACTGGGCCCCTTAAGGTCATGATCACCTCCAGCTGAAAATAATGTCCTTGATACTGATCAGAAGGTCTCTTATTTCTATTTTTATACATATATATATATATTTTTTTTTTTTTAATTTAGGTGTGAAGTGTTGAACTGCGTAGATTTGTAGTTCCATTCTTCTGGAAATGCCAGGAGTTTCAAATGAGTATTTCTATGGGGAATGATAATGCTATTGAAATACTTGTTTACTTTCTAAACATGAAGCTTCATTTTCATCTCTTAAGGAAATTTCATATAGCACTTATCAAGATGGTGTTTTAAAACTGTTCTTTGTGTGTCAGAACACAAAAAACTGTTTGTGATTTAGTGTTAGCTTTATTAGTAGTGCGTCTGAACTAAATATACAAACCAAAGAATTCCTGTCTTTGTTTTTTAATCAAATATTAAATAAATGGTGATATTTCTTTCTTCTGAAGGATCATGATCCCATTCTCACTGGGATATGAAGACACTAATGTGTGTATATAAAAAGTTGAATATGAGGAAGAACTTCTTCATGTTGAGGGTGTAGAGCACTGGAACAGGCTGCCCAGGGAGGTTGTGGAGTCTCCCTCTCTGGACATAGCTAAAACCTGCCTGGGCACATTCCTGTGTGACCTGCTCTAGGTGAGCCTGCCTTAGCAGGGGGTTGATTAGATAGATGATCTGCAGAGGTCCCTTCCAACCCCAATCATTCTGTGACAGTATCAACCAGTCTTGCTACTGAATCAGTCCTGTGGTTTGTGTGCTGATAAAATTTTAGTCTTCCTGTAGAGTAAGCCTGATCGGATCTGTATATAAACATATGAGAATTATTAGCAAAGGTGACAAAGACATCATCCATCTCTCACCAGTAGACATGCTGCTGAGTTATCAGAGGCACAGCCCACAGCTTCTGCTGGAGAAATAGACAGGTTTTTATCGCCAGTGTCAGGTTGTCTCCATACCCTCCTAGCCGCATGCTTTGCTACTGTTTCTCTTCAGCATCAAATTGTTGCAGAAGGTAAACAAAAATGAAAACAGGAGAAGGGCATGATGAGCAAGGAAACTGTTCTCCTTTTTGTGAGTGATCTTACAAAGTAGCACATCGGGTGGCATGAGCTGAAATAGGTGGGACTTGAATGTTTCTGTGTTTGTAACGCTGGCGGAGGTCTGCAGCACCAAACCACACTGTTGGTAGCACCTCTGAGACTCGTGTTTCTCTCCAGAAATCCACAAGGGATGCAGCAGTGCAGTGCATTCCTGCATGCTCCACACTGAGTACAGGGCCATGAGTTTTGTTTCAGTGACTGCAAAACTTGAATGTTACCTGATGGAAGTAAGAGTTTGCTAGATGTCATTGGTATCTGAGTCCAGGTGGTTTTCAGAAGAGTTCATATCCACCTGGAGCAATGGTTAACTTACTGCTCTGTAAGAATAGAAAGCTTTTTCCTTGAAGTGTATAAAGAGGGATGTTGGAACATCTCATTGTAGCTGCCTCATACATGGTATGGAAAAGGGTTGTTTTGATCTGAAAAGAGCTGTTTAGGACAACCTTCCTCCCCTTGGGAACAGTGACAAAGTTCCTGATACCCTTGTACTGAATTAAGGTGAAATGACATCAACCTACCTATTTAACACAAAATACAAGGCATGTGGTTAGATATAATAACAATGATTACTTCAGCTGGATCAGCAAGTCCTGTGCCATGTGTTTTTACTTAGGTGTAGTTAGTATTCAGTGAAAAAGAGAGGAGAAGAGAGAGAGAAAGAAAGGGAGAGGAAGAGAGAGAAGTATCACCACCTGTGGATCCAACCATGCCTTGTTGGTCCCGTTCACCCAGGGTATCATTGGTGGTGGGAGCTCTCCCTCTGACCTGAGCCCTGAACTTTTATGTTCATATTCTCTTGGGGTGTTATCCATAATTTTCATACGACGCATAGAGAAGCATTACTGTGGTAATGATGGGCAGTTTAGAGAGCACTGAGGATCCTTCAGCTGGTCATTGTCCTTTCTATCATGGTGTCTGCTTTTTGACTCCATCCTCTGAGTCAGCTCATCCTTAAATCATCCTTTCACATTCCTGTGGAGGCTTATCAGCTTCGAACAAAGGGGGCAGAACAATCCTATCTACACAGTATATAATAATAGCCAACATTATTATTATTTGCTTTGTTTACATTCAAGGCCTCCCATAGTCACATGCAAATGGTGCCTGAGACAAGCTCAGTTTCCTGTCTTTTACTCACACTATGGAATGTAAGCGGTGTTTGAGACAAGCTTAGTGTCCAGGTTCTCACATGGGTGCATATCCTGTACTAACTTAGTTACAGCAAAAGTCCCCCTTGAAGTGAATGCTCTGCTGTTTGATATGTCTTTCCATATAGTAATTTTCCCAGGCATTTTTCCTGACAGTCCCACCTGCACTAGCAACACCTATCTGTGCTTAGGCACTCTGCAACCACAATGGGATGGGTAAAATCTCAAAATCCAGCCAATACAGTGCTTATAGGAATCTTGATACTTTAACTTTCAATCAGTAAGTAATCTAGTTGTTTGTTTTGCAAGGTTTACAAAGATGAAAAGACTGTAGTCATCAAGGATAAATATCCCAAAGCACGTTACCACTGGCTTATCTTACCATGGGACCCCATTTCAAGCCTCAAGGCAGTCACCAGGGACCATCTTGAACTCCTGGAACATATGCATGCAGTTGGGCAAAAAATAATCGAAGAGTGCCCCGCCCGAGAGAGTTTGGAGTTCAGACTGGGCTACCATGCTATCCCCAGCATGAGGTAAGGTCACCAGGTGGCGACCCCTGTATAGATTTGGGGCTAAATCTGTAACGTGAAATGCTTGGAATGACACAGTGCTTCCAGAACAGAGGGCGTTTCTTTTGTGGCAGGGCTGTGGGTCAGGTATAGCAAGACTGACCCATACGTTTGGTGGTCTGACTGCTGAGTCACATTTACAACTGGTTCTACTGCAAAAGAACTTCAAGCATTAACGTTATTTCTGTCTCATATCTACCCAATGTATTTGTTTCAGTCAGCTACATCTGCATGTAATCAGCCAGGATTTTGATTCTCCGGCCCTGAAAACCAAAAAGCACTGGAACTCTTTTACTACAGATTACTTCTTAAATTCTCAAGGTAATGATTAGAAACTGTATTTTATTACATGTAATCCTGCTTGTGGGTTCTGGCTTTGGGCTTTTTTCCCCCCAAACAAATGTGTAAGCCACAAATTCTGTTGTAATAATTGAAATATTTTATATAATTTCAGATATTGGGGAATAGCACTAAGTAAAAGTCAGCTGAATTTTGTGCCTGGTTTAAATTGGAATGCCGTGATGACTCTCCGTGCATGCAAAGCAGTGTCAGGGGTTCTGCATGGTCCCAATACCTCTGGTCTCTTTTTTTTTTGTTCAGATGTGATAGAGATGGTACGAAGCAAGGGAAAAGTGATGGTGAAAGGTGATGTCTCTGAACTTCTCAAATTGCCCCTCAGATGCCATCGTTGCAAGCAACATCTCTCCACTGTCCCACAGTTAAAGGAACATCTCAAGAAACATTCGCCAAAATGACTTTGGAGATAAATCATCCTGCAGTCTCTTTAGATTTCTGGCTAGAACAAAGGCCTCAGAATGTTGGTGAACTTGTGTACTTTTTGTTAAGTGGAATGACAAATGTAATGTGTGAAAAAGCAACCTGGAAACAGCAGCACGCTAACTGCAATTATTCAGGCAAAAGCAAAGCCCAATATTAAATAAAGTGACTTCTGAATTGAAGGCGTGTTTGCAGCTTTGTTATGGTACAGCCACACTAATCTGTATATGAACTGGAGTCTAGAGGAAGATTTTGTTTGGATTATTTTAATTCAAAGTCTAGGTTTCTACTGAGAAAGCAATAAAACAGTTTCTCTTGATGTTGAAGTTTGTCTGAAGTGATAATGTTGATGAAGCTGGTAAGGCTGACAGCAAGCTGTCAACAGAGTATATTGAGAGTGCATGGGAAGGAGCATCAGCTACTGTGAACTCACTCTGCTGAAATTCCAGTGCTGCGGAACTTCCCCTTGGCCATGGAGCAGGCACTGCATCACACCACGTGCCAGGGTAGTCACTGCTCAGGCGTTAAGAGGGGCAGCTTTTCATGTACAAGGATTTAACAGAAATACATGAATAACACACAATGACCACCTTTGCTGCTCCCCAGAGTAATGAACTATAGTTTGCAGTTGTTTGGCTGCGTATATTGAGGTTGGCACAGAAATTGTGTGGTTTAATGATGTCCTGTTTCTCTGCATCTAGATTTTGGGGAGCCTCTGTCATTTGATTGTTGTAAAGATGTGAACTCCCAGATAGGCAGCAGAGCAGTAGTGATTAAAATCTGTTTCTGGGTCCAGAACTGGTCTGTGGTGGTTTCATTCTAAACCCAGCTTTGACTTCTCAAGTAAGGTGCCTTCTGGGTGAAATGGCTCTCAGTAAAAGAGCAGATGGAGCTTTTGTTGTACAGGGAGAATGCTGTTCCTAACAGCGCACTGTGTGGAGAGGGTGTCTTCATGTGTCTCCCATGCAGCAGCATGTCTACATACCCTGGTGGGGCAAACAATGACCTGTTGCTGCTGGAAAAGAACAAAGATGTTCCTGTAGTGATATGGGCAACAGTAGGGGTTGGGTGTGGCCTAATTTCAAACACTAGTCACTCTTTAGTTTCTGCTGACATTAGTAAATACTATGCCTTAGTTTATAAAACAAAACTTGGAGAAACAGCAGCACAGCCAATCCTGGGATTCACTCTTTAACACAAACTAGGGCTTCAGTTAGCCCCAGAGGTGGACTGGTGCTAATGCCTCACAACAGGAACTGTTTTGGACCAAAGGCAGTTGCAAAGGCTGGAGAGCCGTGGTCATCCTCATGTGGCAGACACAGGCCAGAAATGGAATCATGCTGCTCCAGTTAAACGCACATCTTATGGCCCATGATCCATAATGTCTGAGTGGGTGTCATGTGTTTTAGTACCTCTTAACAGGTCAAAGCGAAGCACAAATGTGCATTCCTTCTGTACGGACACAGCATGCAGCTAGGTGCATGACTGTCACACCCTTGCCTGTGGAGTGCTGATTTCTGAGGGGCAAGCCCAGGTATGATGTCATAGGCCAGTATCATCAGCAGAACCACTGCCATCAGGTGCATGTCTGCAGCTTGTGGTGACCTAGGAGGGAGCGGTGGCAGGGCAACACTACCCAGAGCGTGTCCAGCACTGTGACACAGTGGTGTCACAGCTGCACAGGAAGGGGCTGCAGGAATGGCATCCTTACTGGTCAGCCACAAATCCGCCACCACAGCTAACCTCAAGGCAATGAAGGAAACTAAAGCGTTAGTTGTAGACACTGGCATGGGTCACTTCAAGTGTGGCTTTGCAGGGGACCTGTGGCCTTTGTCTGTTGTTTCACCTACATTTGGTAAGACCACGTGGGAGGCTGGGAGCAATCAAAGAGAAACCTTTGTTGGAAAAGAGCTTCAGAATAGCAGCATATCCTCAGCACGCACCAACCCAGTAAGACACGGCACAGTGGTGGACTGGAACTCTGTCCGAGATATTTTGAAGTGTATTTTCAAGGTGGAGATGAAGATTCAGCCAGAGGACCATGCTGTTTTGATGTCAGTGCCTCCCCTGTGTTCCACCACTGACAAGGGGAAATATGCTGAGATGCTGTTTGAAGGGTTACACATGCCTGCCATACACCTTGCATACCAGTCCCATTTATCCATGTACTCTTATGGGAAAACCTCAGCTCTCGTGGTGGAAAGTGGGCATGGTGTTTCGCACGTGGTTCCTATCTATGAAGGTTATATTCTACATAGCATCACTGGGAAAGTAGATTATGCTGGCTCGGACATCACATGTTACCTCATGAAGTTACTAAATGAGTCTGGAAATGAATTCACAGAACACCAGCTAAACACCATACAAGATCTCAAAGAGAAGTGCTGTTACACCTCTCTGGATCTTAAGCATGACTTGAGTTTGCCTGTTGAGAAACAACAAGTAGATTACAAGCTGCCGGATGGGCACTTCATCACTGTAGGCAAAGAGAGGTTCCTTTGTGCTGAAGCACTCTTCAAACCAGAATTATCTGGCTCACAGCAGCAAGGGCTTTCACAGCTGACACTTGCCTGTCTCAGTAAGTGCAGTGCTGACATCAGCAGCAAAATGCTGGGGAACGTCCTGCTGTGTGGGGGTAGCACTATGATGGAGGGCTTTGCTGAACGCTTCCAGAAGGAACTTGCCATGATGTTCCCCCATGACAGCCCCATCATAGCCACATCCCCTCAAAGAAAGTTTGCTGTCTGGATTGGTGGGTCTATTCTGGCCTCACTCAACTCCTTCCAGGACCTCTGGGTGCACAGGTACGAATATGAAGAACATGGTTCTACCTGTATTTTCAAGAAGTGCTTCTGAGGAAGAGACTGGGTGCCTTAGAAAGACCAGTGCTGACAAAGGGTGCAGAATAAATTCGAAAGCACCTCCCTTCCACCCCTTGCTGTAATTAAGAAATTTCTACCAGAGCTGTATTATTTTTGTGATATTGTGTGCCTTTAATACTTTTCCTTTTGTATTTTGTACTTAATGAAGCTAGACAGCAGACAGGGTTTGCTTCTTAAGCTAACTCCTTTTCTCTATTATTTCTGCACGGATGGCTTACAAACAGATGCAGTTAATCAGGAATTGAAGTAATAGCCTCCGCAGAACGCAGAAGAGCAAACTCAACCTGTTTGCACAGACATCAGCTAAAGCAGGGTATATTTTAAGATGACGTGTCACTGAGAAAGAAAAAGTGTATCCTAGCAGAAACCAAGGGGAAGCAGGCTTTTGGCTGCTGCTGCTGCTGAAAAGGAGGCAGGAATTTCCCCCTGGAAGCTCAAGGACACAAGATGTGGCTACCAGCTCTACCACTCCTTAGTCAAAGTTCACTCAGGAGGCAGAGGGGTAGGGGAAGACAATGGAGTTTGATGGTGAATTACCACATGAATGATTTAGAAGACTGGTCTTTCACCTGGATGGCAGATTTACAGTGATTTTGCCTTGATAAGCAGATAGGAAAATCCATCTAAGACTAGAGGGTCTTCAGCTTTGGCCATCACCACAAAGAAAAAGCACAAGTAGCCACATACATACATTAAGGGAACTGCTGTGTTTGGGCACAAGCATGAAAGCTCAATGAGCTGGCAGTAGTTTCACCTTTTGTTGGGTTCTTCAGGGGGGAACTTCCTAGACAATAGATTAGGCCATACAAGACCTCCACATTTCCTGGCATCAGGTTAAGAAATGTCAGGGATTAGTCCTTTGTTGAATTTCAGTTGCAGGGCCAGAGCCCTCCACAGCCTGGGGAGGACCATGCACTCCCTCTCCCACTACCCCTTTCTGCAGGTCTGAAAGATGGCTTCTGTATTTCATTTGCAGCTATCTTCTACCATTTTAAAGACCCAAATCCAATAAAACCCCTGGGCAGCCTTTCATGTGTTTTACCATCTCAAGGCTTTACTCTTGGAGAATGTTTCCAGTGCAGTCACAGTGCTTGACAACAGGGTTAAGCAGTCCCTGCACTGCCACATAACTCATAATGGCTGGAAGAACACTCCAATGCTTCACGCAACACTGACAATGGATTATTTTACCACTCCAAAAACCCCAAGCCAGGACAGCATGTACAGTGCAAGCCCATGTGGCCATCCCTCTCAGTACAATAGGGTTCTCACATCACAGAATCAATGAACTGCAGCACTAGGCACATGCTAAGGCCATGCAGTAAGAACGCAACCCATTGTCATGTCTTGAGGTACCTCCAGCAAGCAGGAACTGCCTTGTTTGTTCTGGCATTTTTCCACTGCACCTAACTGAAATGGCTTGCATTGAACACAGTAGCTGTCAGACCAGAATGTGGTAGCAGGGAACTGCTACCTCTGGAGGTGTTGCCACCCTCACCTGCAGAGCTTGTCCCCATCCTCTACTCCCAGGACGGCTGCTGTTACCTCTTGAGTCAGGTTGCACAAGTATTCTGGGGTAAAACCTAATTCTTAGGTATATTCAGTTTCCAGCTGAAACCATTCCACAATACTGCACAGCATAATCAGGGTACAGCTGCTGATCTGATACAGCAGCATTAACTGACCTAATCTAGGTTAGTGTGATGCAGAGGGTCGACCAAAGTACAGGGGGGTGGTACAGGGAGGTTGTACAAGGGGGTTAGAGGAATTGGTTTGCTTAAACAAAAGTATCTCTGTTGTAAATGCCTACTAAGCAGAACAAAGATACCTGGTTCTATTGATAAGGAAAAGCAGACACCTGGTTCTATTGACAAGGAAAAGCAGACACCTGATTCTACTGATAAGCAGCTATTGATAAGGAAAAGCAGAATCTACTGATAAGGGGGAGAAGCAGATGGTTTATGGCTGGGACACTGACCAAACCCTAAGGCCATATGTGAAGACTAAAAGGTGAAAAGTTCAAGAAGAGGAAGACCCATTTACTTCATCTTGAAGACCCACATGAGGCAGACTCATTTACTTCATCTTGAGACCCCTGCCCATGACCAGAGGGGGCACTGCGCAGGTGCAAAGGACCTTCTAACTCATTATAATACTAAGTGGGGATAGGACATGAATACGTATAGGCGTGTTGTGCAACCTTATGAATATATATAATTTTAGAGAGTAAATGTAGAGGGAAACAATACTGAGGTATGCATGACTTTGAGGAATTATCCCTGTGCGTCTCAGTGCTGAATAAAAAGCGTACCTACTTTACAACTTCTAACGAGTTGTGGAGTCTATCCGCGCATCAAGTGTAACCCAGCAGAGAGCGACACAGGATCTACCCCCTGCTTTTATTCATTCTCCCCAAGATCCCCCTGGTGTGAATGGGCACACTTTCAGGACAGCAATTCTGTCAGTACTGCAGGGTTCACTCTGATGTAACAAAGTGATTCTGGTGAAAATCTGGTACTACCAACATCCAGCTTCAACAGAGAAAACACAACTCATTCATTCAGCACCTACAAACCAGCTCTGCAGTGGGATGTGAGCAGCTGTCCACATTAGCACGATGCCTTACAGGTCATAGTCAACAGCTGCACCAGAAGGAGGGACCCTTCTCTTGCACAGCCTAAGAACAGTTTATCAGAAACATCAGGACAAGGGTTTCCATAAAGATGTAATGAAATTATGTGAAAAGGTACATTTCAGAGTCCGCTGGGATTTCTTGCTTTTAGTTACTGGAGAAGATGCAGTTTCCATTGTAGACTTTTATTGAGTTTTGGTGGAATAAGTAATTCTGGATCTGAAAGGCAAACATGGTAAGTGTCAGAACAGAGGTAACAACCATACAGTTTCTCCAGGGGCTGTCAACTACTTAGTTTAATTTTCTTTACATTAAAGAACACTGGGAAGTCTGGCACATAGCATTTCCCTTTAGTGGCTGATGACCTGCCTGCACAGGGAAGAGTACCCCAAGCAGAACTGCTTAGAGAAATAAATCTATGAGGCAGATCAAGTCCCCTCTCCGTTAAGTGTGATTGTTCAGAACAAGGAGACAACAATCAATGGCAGAAAGCAGAATTTCCTTCATTCACCAGTAACAGAAGCATCACACACAACAGTCAGCTGGCTCTGAAGAAGCAGCACAAGTTTTTCCCTGGCAAGTGGCAACATGCAGACCGCATCTAGAGGTTTATTAGAGGATTTCTCCTGGTAATTCCTGGACTAGCAGCGGAACAGACTGTAGGACTAGTGAGGAAGAGGTAAGACAGGGAGGTGGAACCAGCCCTTGTAGGTCTCTCAGCCCTAAGGTTGTATTTGCAGCTTTGAATGGCAGACTGTAGCCTGGCCTGCTCAAGAGCCTGGCCTGGCTGCCAAAGCCAGACAGAAAAATTCAGCAGGTAAGTTAAAAGCAGAATTATCCAACACATCCCCTAAGAAATCAGACTTCCATTTTCCTCATAACAGACAGATGGTACACACAAGGAATTAAGGAGCACAATCCAGAGAGGAGTTTTAGCAAAGTACTCCAGAGCAAATGAAATCTTATTAAGAAGGCTGCTCACCTGCCACAAGGCAGGAGGGTATACCCTAAAGAAAAACAAGAAGCTCCTACAAATGCTGGCAGGTAGCAATGCTTGGAAAGCCTCAAGCCCACTGACCTCACTGAGATTTCACACCCACACCTAACTCAGAGTCTCAACCAACCTTGTACAACAGGAGTCACCATCCTCTTCTGCTGATAGGCAGCCATAATGCTGTTTGCTGTTGAATTGGGTCCCAGGACCTGTATGAAGAAGCAATACCCATGTTCCAAACTGCGCAAAGCAAGGCTGAGAGCAGGGATAGCTACAAATAAAACTCCGCTGCTAGTCTCCAAAAGCATAAGCAGCTGCCTGCAGGAGACCTCACAGTACAAAGTGACAAGGAATATGTGATCAAAGTCCAGTGATCTCTCAGAAAAGTTAACAGAGGCAGAAAGAGAGAACCACTTTCAGACAGCTTCTCAGGACACAGAATCCTAATCCCAGCACCTACTTCTTCACTGCACTGTGTCACGACTTGGCAGGACTACTTTCATTACAGTTCTAGCAATATTTTAAAGTTCTTTTGAGAGCTTCAGCTCTCAAACTCACAGAACAGTTTTAATCTGTCCCTAGAGTCAGTAGTTAGGGAGAAGATACTGCCAAATACCTTGTGCTCACCATGAATGCCCAGAAACTACTTATCAGAAATAAAGACTTTTACTTTGGAAGGGAACTAAGTGCAGTCCTTGTGATTTCCTTACTCTGCGTTAAGCTGAAGTTTGGAAGCCTGACATAACCTTTCTTTTTGCAATATACTCCTTATGATAGACTGATTCAGACTAAATTGACCAGTCTGGTAGCCTTCACAACATGAGGTCCGACAACCAGTACTCCAGTAGATGAAAGCCATGCAAACACTTCAACCATCAGGCCTAAAACCACCCAAAATACAACAGTGGTTTCATGTTCTACAAATTGCTTAAAGTAGAGCTTATGAAGTCACCCCTAGGACAAGGTAACACAAGCACTATGAGACCTCACCATATCCAACATGCCATTCAGCACAAGGGACACAGCCGGCTGTACCTGTAGTACACATCTAGAGTGCACTGACTTTGCAGGTACTTGTACAGATCATCTATTTGAGCTCTTCAGAAAAAAAAGAGCAGATTTGGGAAGCCAAGGAAGCATTCTGGACTCTTTACTGGAGGATGCAAAATACTGCTAAACACTTGGTTATTGCATAGCAAACACAATAGTTATTGCAGATGAGCACAGACCAGGTTGACAGAGCCCTGCTGCAGGTCTGGAGTCCAGATTTCTGGGATGGAGGTCTCCATCAGCTGCAAAATCTCTTCCAGGGCTTGCTGCAGTGCCCCTGCTTGCTCATTGTAACCAAACAACACAAGCTGCTTCAGAAGGATATGTATGTCTCCTGCAAGAGGGAACAGAAGCACAAACAACAGCAATTAACACAGCTGTGCTAAATAAACAGCTGTATTTCACTGGGTTTCAGGGCACAGAAA